CATTACGAAAAGACTTAGCAATTTGATAATATTTTCCTAATCCTCCTATCATTAACAACTGTTTAAAAATTTGGGGAGATTGAGGTAAAGTATAATAACGGTTTTTTCGGTTAGCAGGAACTACGAAACACTGGGCTCCTTCGGGTGAACTAGGGGCTAAAATGGGGGTTTCAACCTCAATAAATCCTTGCTGGTGAAGAAAGTTTCTTAGTTCATAGCATCATTTATTTTTAATAAGGAGAGGATATTTACTACAAGGACGACGCAAATCTAGATAACGATAACGATAGCGAGTATCTTCATTAATATTAACTTCATCTTTAAGGGCAAAGGGTAAATTTTTACTGCTATTTATTAACTGATATTTTTCTAATTCCATTTCGATTTGCTCATTTTTTTTCGCGTCCTTTTCTGCTTTTTTTATTTTGATAATACCCCGTATTTTTAATAAATCTCCTTTTTTTATTTCCTTTAGCCGGGAAATTAGTTCTTTATTCTTAACTACAATTTGAATACAACCACTACTATCTTGACCAATAATGAACCACAATGAATGGCCTTTTTCCTTAATGTTAATAATCCAAACATGAAGAACAACTTTTTTGTTTAACTTTTTTAGAGTTAATTTAGAGATTAGGGAAAAAGAAACCATTGATAATTATGTGGCCTAATTTTTTTTAGCATTTGCTTTATTTTCTCTTGGATTTTCTGCATAATTTTTTGTTTATATATTAGTTTTATACTATTTAGCAAAATCCCATAATATTCTCCGACCGGAAGCAGAATTATAATTTTACTGCTAAAAATACTATTAACAGGCCTAAAATATGAGTTCAAAAAAAAAAAAAATAATTTATGAATAAAATTGCGAATATTAAGACCTTAACTCATCAAGAGGAAATTGAACTTTTACGGCAAGCCAAAGAAGGTAAAACTAGGCAAGAAAGGGCCAAAGCTACTCGTTTGTTAATCTATTATAATCGATCCTTTGTTAAATACTTAGTAGGTGGTTATTATTATAACGAAATTAACTCGGAGGATTTAGTAGCCGAGGGAAGTATTGGTTTACTTCAAGCTATCAAAGAATTTGACCTTTCCCGGGCGGAAAAATACCGTTTGGCTAGTTTTGCTAGTTATTGAATACATCAACGAATACGCACTTTTATTAAAAAAAGTCACTTATTTCCGCAAGCAGCTCAAAAAAAACCGGAATTTATTGAAGAAGAGGAAGTTGATTCATTAGAGGAGGAAAAAAAACTTCCGCCAAAAAGGTCCTGAGGAATTATTTATTATGACAAAGATTACAGTGGCACGGAAAAAGATAATAAAGCTATTTCTTGACTAGATACTTTGACTGACAATAGCGAACAACAAGTCGAACAACAAATCCAATACGAAGAAAACAAAATAAAAGTTAACGAATTAATTTCCCACTTAGCGTACCATGAAGAATTAATTATTCGGCTTTTTTTTGGTATAACCCCTGCTAATTTAAAGCAAATCAGTCGTTTAGCCACCGACGAAAAAGTCAAAGAACTAAAAAGAATCAAAATGAAAAAAAATACTCTCTCGGGGGAAGAAAAACCTCATCCTTTACTAGAAAAATATCGAGAAATTTTAACTGTGCCGCGTAAAAAAGAAGAAGTCGTGCCAGAATTTATGCGTCCAGAATTTTGGGAATATTTTCGCCAATTTCCGGAATTAGCTTTAAAAACTGAATCTTCCCG